CTTTATGTTTATTGTTATTTGATCTTCACGACAATCCTGGGAGATAGGTGCTATTATAATCCTCATTTCATAGATGAGGTAAGTGAGGCTTAAACAGGTTGAGTGACTTACCTGGGATCACACAGCTACTAAGTGTCAAAGAACAGATTTGAACTCAGCACTCCTGACCCCCGGTTCAACACTCTGGCTACTATGCCACTTAGCTGCCTTTCACTGGAATGGGAACTATGACAAAGACAGTTCCATTACAGTGTACAGTAACTCAAATAAACACATGGTGGAGCCTGAATTTGTATTCAGTGTCTTACACACTAAAGACCACCAATGGAATATTGGATTATTGCTATATAACTGGATTATCATAAAAGGCCATATTTCAGATGGCAATTCTTAACAGTACTTCTCATAATACTCTCTGGATAACAGGGAACATGAAAAGTACATTTTCAGTAATAAAAAAGAAAAGTGATCATAGTTCACTAAATCAGCACTCATAGAGTTGTACTAGAGTGGCTGTATCTAGTGCCATTGTAATCTAAGGTAATGAATATGTGTAATAGAAATCCTATTCTTCGGTTCTTCAGTCCACTATAAAAATCTATTTGTGTTGACAACCAAAGCATAACACATTTCTTGCAGCACGACATTCCCAAACTTTCACTGTTTCTTTTAGCTAATTATGGAAGTACATTGTATTTACTATGAAAGAGAAAAAAAAATTTAGGTCCATTCTAGTATAACCAAGTGAAAAAAGGCTTATTTTTCAAACTATATCTGACATTACCTAAACATAGGGAACAAAAAAGTATTCGATTCTCTGCTATTTACAGTACATAGTACAAAATGGTCAAAATGCGTCTGAGAGCATAAGCAATAGCAGCAATATTGGGATGGCAGGCTTTGGCCTCCACCCCTAGCTGAGCAGTATACCAAATATGAATGGGGATCACTAAAAATAGACTAATCAATACATCTGTGTCCTATTTGCTTCAAGTCAAGGATTTGCTACTCAGATATCATGCTCTGATAAACACTCACAATGATAACTCTGATTTCTACCATCAGGGCCAGAATTACTAAAAAAAAACAACAAAAAACAAAAACAAAGTAGGTCAATTTTGCTTTTAAGACTCAGGTGTCACTCTCTCAGCCCTATAAAAAGCAAAGCCAGTTACCAGGAGGTGGTAACCATCCACAGAGACAGGGGAGCCTAAAATGGATAAGGAAAAAGAAAAGGAGAAAGAGGATAACTTGCATTTATATATTGCTTTAAAGTTTGCAAATCACTTTACAAATATTATCTCATTTGATCCTTACAAAAACCTGGTGGGGGGGGAAAGGGGGGCAGTAGGTGCTATTATTATCCCCATTCTACAAATAAGGAGATTGAGGCTGACAGAGGTTAAATGACTTGCCCAGGGTCATGTAGCCATAAAAGCCAAAGGCTAGATTTGACCTTAGGTCTGCCTGACTCCCCGCACTCTATACACCATAGTACTTAGCTGCCAAATGTCAAAGGATGCCAAAGCTGGTAAGGCAGAACACCTAGTAAAATTTACTGTTCTAGAGTAGGGGTTCTGGGACAGGGTTGGAAATTCAGAATAGGAGAAAGGAAAGCAAATGGGAGATTAAAATCAAGAGAGGTACTAGTAGGAAAAAGAAGAGAGCCTCCAGGAAGGAAGCTGTCCATTCAGGAGCCAAAGCTGGAGAAAAGGGAACAGGTCAGGTCTAGATTAACAGTCTTCTTGTTGCCCGACCTATGTGGAATGCATCCCAGAAGGAAAGGGAAAAGGAACAGAGAAATCTAGGTAATTGTGCCCAACATTACAAACCCAGGGCACCCAGGGAAGTGTCTAATCGATGCCCAATAAGAAAACGGTAAACAAAGGTCCCAATGACTCTAAGGAATGCAGAATGCTCATCACAGGGGCTTCAGCTGCTTTTTGGAGGGTACTTTTTTCTTCCAAAGGCTGTCTTATGGAAAGACAAGCTGTCCTGGTGAAATGGAAAGAGTGCTGAATTCAGAGGACTTCTGTCCAAGTCCTAGCTGTGCTATGGACTATCTCTGTGACAATGGACAAGTCATTTCATTTCTCTGGACTTCAGTTTCAGTTGTAAAATGAGGGTGTTCAAGTAGATGAATTCTCAGGTCCCTTTTAGCTCTATAATCCATCTTGAGAGATCAACAGGTGGTACAAAAGGCAAACGGTTGGGAGCTTGAACAGCCCTTGGGAGGGGGAAAAGTGGGACAGTACTGGATAATAAGAGGTGAAGAATACGGTGGTATTGGGGACAAGATCAGCTAGGATTGGCTATCACTGGGAAGGTGGGCTGGGACCCATTTTCCCAACTGGTTTATCACATGTACCTTGGGGTCTTGCCAGAGTTGCCAATTTGGAGATTACTACTCTCAAATTATTAAAAAAGAAAACCCTAACACTGTGTAATATTCAACCAAGAATATACTATATATGTATTAATCATCAACAGGAAACCTATGGAAAATAAAAAGGCTAAAAAAGGGACTTCCATTATGATTGATTTTATTCACAAATGCATGCACACTCACACCAACAGATGTATATCTAGAAAGAATATTTCCTTATTTATAGCTTCCAACAAAAACCAGTAATGACCCTTCCAAAAATGAATTATTCATACACAACAGGATGAAGCATTTGCCCACTGATTTAGGCTATTTTTTTTCCTTTAAATGGTGAGATGGTCAACCGAGTTATTTTTAAAATTTTCCAAAGGATTTCCTTCACACTTCAACATCTAATGAGCATGATGACTACTCAACATTAAACTACTCAAGTTAGAAGGCACCATCTCACCTTCAAGATTCATTTGAACCAGGCTGTATATTTAGCATAGTTGAACACTTTCAAATTTAATCTCTTTGATTCACAGATGACCTTTTCATGTAATATTTAAACATGCTGAATTACTAACATGGGGCATATGTCCCTAATCATTACATCCTTTAAATAAAATAAGAGCACAAAATTCCAAAACAAAAATCTCTTATATAAAATCTAGACAAAAGGTCAGATAAACCACTGTAACCAAGTGTCTATTTCTCAGGAAGCTAGCAGGAGAGATTCATGCATCTCTGAACAATTTTTTAAGCATAGGCACCTAGGTAACACAGTAGATAGATAAAACGGTTGGACCTGGAGTCAGAAAGACCTGAGTTTGAATCCCGCCTCAGATATTTACTAGCCATAGGACCCTAGGAAATCACTTAACCTCTCTCAGCCTTAGTTTCCTCACATGTAAAACGAGGACAATAATCTCACCTCGCAGTGTTGCTGTGAGGATTAAGTAATATACAAAGCACTTTGCAAATTTTAAAGTGCTATACAAATGCTCACCCTGGAAGGAGAACAGTCTCTCTGGCCATACTAGTAACTGCCCAGCCTTTGTCTATGATGCTGCAGAAACCTCTTCAACAGAGCTCACTCCACCCTGGGACACATCTCCACCCCTTTCATCTCTCCCTCAGATGGGCTGTTTCAGAAAGAGGATGCCCAGGCTGGCCACAGCTTCATTCCTCTCCAGGCTGCACTCCTGGCTCTCTAGACTTTCTCTACCCTACCTTCTTCATCTCTTCCCCTCACCTCTGTTTTTCAGCTTCCTTTTATGTGCTGTCTTCCCCAATTAGAATGTAAACTCTTGGAGGTCAGGCACTATCATTCTTTCTGCTAGTATTTATATCACCTTGGAACAAAACTTCTGTCCATCCAGACAGAAGGAGGTTTTGTTATTCAAACAGTTCAGTTTCCAATGAAAAAAGAACTAAAATTCAAGTTCTAAGAGACATCCTGAACACACACCAGGGCTAAACATTGCTTTTTGAGTTCTCATTAGAATATCTTGTGGGATGCAGTACAAGCAGTAAGAAAAGCTGAGTCATATCACAGCTCTAATAATTTTAGGAAATAACATGACTATTTCGAATGAAGAATCTAGCAAATTAAGTTTAATTGAGTCATGATAAAGACCATTTTTAATATTAAAATTGGTAGCTGATTTCCACCATTTGTTCACTCTGTTGGTATTTTCTCCTGCCACACTATATTCAGCCTCCTCTCGTAGGTTGAAGCAACAATCATTTTTAAACACAGGAGAGTGGGAGTTGCCAACAACAACTTATAAGGGATTTCAATTGAGTTAGGTAGATTAGATGTCTTTTTCTATCCTTTACTAAGCAGCCACAAGCTTCTTGTACTGAATAACACTCAATCTCCAATCTTCCTGACTGCTAATAAGGCAAAAAACAACAACAAAACCAGTTACTCTTCCCACTAAGAGTAAGACAAATCTAATATGCATTTTTCAAAGCAATATTGTCATAGAAACACTATTCTTTTTATTAAGGGACTTTTAAAGATACGCTATAAATTACAAATACTCCATATGCATAATACTGACTAATGTTCCTTAAAGAAACTTAATTTTGGTCATGAGGATGTCCTTCTGGGATGCAAGTGATGCAGTAGAAGATCTGAGTTCAAATCTGGCCTCACACTTCGTAACTGTGTGACCCTGGCCAAGTCACTCTGTTTGCCTCGGTTTCCTCAAATGTAAAAGCGGGAAAATAACAGTACTTACTTTTCAAGTTTGTTGCAAGGATCAAATGAGATAATTATAAAGTGCTTCAAACAGTGCCCAATACATTGCAGGTGCTTATTAAATGCTTATTCCTTCCCTTTCTCTTTAGCCTTCCCTTCCCTTTTCTTGTGGGGAGGAAAGGGTAAAAGTAATCACTATAATGACACGTTCAGGTGTTCAGTGTACATTCCTAAAAAAACAAATTAATTAAGAAGTCATTGATTGTGCATGCCAGACACTGTACTGTACTTTAATTGTTCCAAATTCATTCATGATTATTATTTTTCCTTACTTGGCCACTAGGATTCAAAAAGCCTTTCTTCAGAACAATGGCACAGAAAAAGAAAAGAGATTTTCCTTTGTGAAGAAAAAGATGATCCTACCTGTTTGAGCTTCATAAAGAAAGTCTCAGTGAAAGTCTTTCTGCTGAAGTACCAGAAGCGCTCGTTGGCAGGGTACACACGCACCAATGTCTCTAGCAAGAAGCGGACCGGCTCCACCACCTCGGTGACGACCATATCCACGGCTACAGTCATGAACACCCTTTTATCTAGAGTTAAAAATGGGATTTGTGGTCAAAAACGTTGAACATCTAACCACACAAAACAGTGGGTCATGGTACACACGGTACATGGCTCAATGTAAGAAAAATGTACTTAATAGGATTCAGCATTCAACTAATGAATATCCACTCACTGCCTAGACCTATGAGAGACACAAGCAAAATTTTTTTAAAAAGTTCTTATCTTCAATGAATTTACAATCTCTGCAGGGAGGCAATAGTCATGTAGGAAACAGGCAACAAGATGTTACGCGATGGAATGTCAAAGATACTTGGGTAGACACGATAAATATCAACCAGCTGAGAAAACAGAGAAATTAGTGTGGTCTGAGGTTGCTATGGAACCTCAGGAAAGTAGCAACCTCATTGGACCCATTTCTTAAGCTGCAAAATAAAGATAGCTCACATTTGTATAATGTTTTAATGTTTATGAAGTCCCCTCACATAACAATTCTGTGCAATGGACAATTTAAGTAATATTGTCCCCAACGGTACAACTCAAAGTGTCCTTTGCCATGGTGGTTAGTAAATTGCTGGAAGCAGGATTGAACCTAGATGCAGTGACTCCAAACACAAATGCTCTGTCTGCTATAACACACTGCCTCATATAAAGGGGTGATTGGGGGGCAGAGAAATAGTATCTCTGCTAACTGTAACATTTTACAATATAGGCTCTAGTAGCCCAAGGCTTTATGAAGAAGGGACCTAAAGTGGGCTTCGTTAGTTCCTTGTAAGTAGGGATTGTTTTCATTTTTTGTAACTGCATCCTCAGCACCTATGCAACTGGCCTACAGCGGGTGCTTAATAAATGCTTACTAATGGACTGAAGGATTCGGATAGACTAAGAAGAAGGCAGGAGGGCACGTAAAGGAGTTATGGGGCAAGGGAGAGGGTAGATCCAAAGAGTACCTTGAGCTGCTACTTCTTGAAGTCTTAAGGCTAACAAGGAAAAAATCCTATCTCTTCCGAACACTAAATGGGATTATAATCTCATAGAGGAGAAGCCAGGAGAAGATAAAAATCAACATAAATACTTACAGATAAACACCTACATGTGGTGCATTCATGTATCCAAGGAAGCCTTAAAGGAAGACGGCCTTGTATTCATCTGTAACATTATTATCTACTCATTTTATTTCCCCAGATTTTTTTAAAGCCTTTCTTTCCTTGGACCTCATTACACATTTTATCAATGACTCAGAAGCCTTATGGTCAAAGGGAACTTGTCAATTGTCTGGCTCAATGAACAATTTTAATAGTACCCCACTAAAACTTACCCAATCAGCTTGTGGTCATCCCGTCTCTGCCTGAACACCTTCAATAACTCATCACTGCCCATACTAGTCCATTCCACTTCTGGACTGTTCCAATTACTAGGAAGATTCTCCTAACATCAAGTCAAAATGTGCCTCTTTGCAACTTCCACTCAAGGTTCCCATGTCTGTTCTTTGGCACCTAACAAAACACACCTAATCCCTCTTCCAAACAACAGCTTTCTGAATACATATTCTCCTCAAAGTCTTCTCTCCCACAAGATAACCTTGCCCAGTTCTTTCAACTGCTCCTCATATGACATGGCCTCCAAGGTCTCCTCCACTCTGCTTTCTCTCCTCCCTTTGTTGCTATATAGCTTATAAATATTCTTCTTAAACTATGGGGCCCACAAGTGAATAGAGTACTACAGATGGGCCCAAAGCAAAGTGAAGACCACAGGGGCTATCCCTTATCTTAAGCACTTGTCATGTTCTATTTTTATGTTATGGTTATTTCTATATATGTTCTAGTAACCTCCCTGCAAAACAGCAAGTTCTATGAGATCAGGACTGATTCTTATTGAACTGTTGGTCTCCCAAAATACCTAGTACTTTAAACAAAATTGGTACTTAATGAATGTTTGCCGAGACTAACTATGAGTTAAACAAAGATGTGAATTATTAAATTCTGTAAAGTTATGCCTGTTCCAACTCATAATCTAAATTTATATCACTATATAGCTTACATTCATATTAACTAGGGAATAGCCACATTTTCCCTTGATAGCAACTTTTTTTTGTACATGCCTACAAGAGGGATGAATTTGTAAAAATAAGTGACGAAAGGTTTGATTTTGTCAAATAAGACAAGAAAATCATTTTACACCAGAAATTGTGAGATTCTCACCCCACTCCACCCCTCCCCCCCCCAAAAAAGGATGGTGCTGAACAGACAGGATTCCTAAATTCTGTTCCTGGTTCAGCCATCCCAGGAGTGGGGAACCTGTGGCCTGGAGGCCACATGTGCCTTCCAGGTCCTTGGGTGAAGCCTTTTGACTGAGTCCAAGTTTTGCAGAACAAATCCTTTAATGAAGGGGATTTGTTCTGTGAAGTTTGGATTCAGTCAAAGGGCTGAACTTGAAGACTTTGAGGGCTACACACTGCCTCGAGGCCCCAGATTCCCCACCCCTGAGCCATACCGACATTTGTCTCTAGACAAGTTACTCAATTTCTACATGTATCATTTTCATCACTTAAATCATGATGACATTTACAACCTCACTCCTTAGCCAGAAAGTTGTGAGAATTCATACCTACAAAGCAGGAAGATACAGGATTATGAAGTATCATTTCAAGATTTTTGAAATGTTGATGCTAGCCTAGCTAGTTTTCTATTACTAAATGACTAAGGAAATATAACGTAGCAGTATAATTAATCAGGAGTCCCAAAAAGCTGTCTTCTTCTTACCCAAGCCAGCCTCACAGACTGATCATTGGAAAAAAGACTGTCTCTTTTCTTTCATCATTAAAAAAAAACTGCAGTCCACAGTAAAATGGAAAAGTTTGATACAAGAACTGTCTTCATATAATCACAAAAATGTTTTGTTTCTGCAGCTTCACTGAACTAGTTCTATAGTGCACTTCCTTCAATTGCAAAAGAAAATCTCAATACTTTCTTACCCACGCAGGTCTACTGGGGGAATAGGGGGGTGCCCCAAGCTTTCTTTTCTTTTATTACAGATGAAAGAAATTACATTTGCCAAGAGTTTATTCTGCTCCTAATGTGTAAGCCTTACTGTGTAAGCAAAATTTACACAAATTAAACTAGCATCCGAATTAATGAGCAGAATTGGTACCAGTGACCAATACTTATGACAACTGGTCAGGCTCAGTTCTGTATTTTCAAAGATTACCAGGTCAAATTGAAAACAAATTTACTTATGTCAAAACCCTTCATGGCCTCTTGCTGCTGCAGCTGTAATACCACAACTCAAATTCGGATCCTTATCATTTCCCACTTGGCCTGATGCAGCATTCTGCAAATTAGCCTTCCTAACTCAAGGCCTCTCCTACCACTTACAATGCTAAGAATTATAATGCTAAAAATAACGGAGATCTCACATGAGACTCAGGACTCTATCCATTAAGCATGAAAACAAAGCAGCACAGAGATTTAGAAACCTTGGAAGCAAACGGACAATCCAGCTTAGAATTTGGCACAGAGAAAGCAATAGAACAAAAGGTTCAGGCTGATGTGCACAGCAGATTTGGCAAGGCCAGAAAGGGTTCAGGGGAAAGGTGGTCAGCATCCCATGACCTAAAATTCTATAGGCGTGAGTGTCTCCACAAGAAGGGTTGGAAATGCTCAAGACTGAAAGTAAGACGAAAAAAAAAAAAAAAGATGTGATCCTGATGAGGGAAAAAAGTGGGAGCAGTTTAAAGACGTCCATGTAGGTTCAGAGGGAAATGACTGACTAATTCAGATTTTTAAAATATGTGGAGGAAGGAGGGAAGGAAGGGAGGGAGAAGGAGGAAGGGGGAGAGGAAGGAAGGAAGGAAGGAAGGAAGGAAGGAAGGAAGGAAGGAAGGAAGGAAG